CGCGCAAAAAAAAACGTTTGTTTACGAACGATAAAGAGAAGCTAATTGGATCGCGGAAGTTTCGACCGCGGTAAATTCAGTTCAGACACGCGTACCGCTTCTTCGAATTCCAGCCCAGGTCATAAATTTCCGAGCCGTAAAGCGTGAGCGTCGTGAGCGTCCATAAAAAATTTAACTATGCGCCACCGCGGTCGTGACTTTACTTTTCGCGAGTACCCGGTGAGCTCGTGCTCGCGCAGCGAGCTGTTCAACTTTTTATTCACAGTCTATGCTCACCGGCGACCATTCATTTCTTGGACCATCAACAAGGTCCGACCATTCGTCTCGGAAATGTTACGCCCGGAAGAATTTTCTCTCGCCTCGCTTGGAGACGACGCGAACTCGCCTCGACTATTTTGCAACTAGTGACATTTTTATTATTTTGCAAGACTCGTTTTTGTTTTATTTTTTATTGCGCGCGAACGCAAGTAAGTAAATTAAGCGACGATAAAAATCGCGGACGCGATGAAAACGTGTGTCGATTTTCTTTCAAACGACGCTTCTTCTGTCTCGGAGTTGCGTTCGAGATAATAGATCGGGGAATGACACGCGCGCGCGCTAAGGATTTGCGAAGCTGATTGTGAGCAGTTAATATTTTCTCGCATCACCGCGCCATCAATGCGCGCAGCGATGCTGATATTTAATACAACTAAACGATGTTTACTCATTAATTTCGTCCAGAATCAATATTGACTCTCGCGAGAGCGAGAGATACGCATCGGTAGCTAATGCCTGTCAAATACCTGCTGCATTCATTACTTAATATATCCGAATATTTCTGCATGAAATATGCATGCGGGAGAACACACTTCACATTCATTTTACATCCGGGGAATCCAATTGAAAAATATCAGCGGGCGCGGGCGCCACACTATATAATTGTGTGCGCGAGCGCGATATTAGCATTTCATGAGAACGCATTATGTGATTTTATCGGGTCGCGTGTGTGTGTGTTTGTAACACGTATACATAAGTATGTAACCCGGAGAACACTGAAAATATTTCCATTATATATCTCGGCGCGTTATTACATTCAGATGGATTCATGGGATTTTAAATTTAGATATTGCAGATTGAGAGAGACCGAGAGATTTTCTCGTGCAATTTTTTTTCATTTCGCCAAAATTTTGTCCTTCAGCTTGTGTTTTATTTTATTCGTTCGAAAAACACATTATTCCACGCGCATATGTCGCGCATATGTTTCTGTGATCGAATCAATTAAATTTTAAATTAAAATTGAACACACACATACACACACGTGTATAACCGCGTTGTTTTACAATCACGTTGATTAAAATACACTTAGTTGATTAACAAGTTAATCAACTCTCTCGAATGAGAAGTGCGCGCGATACAAGAGCAGATTTGCATTTTTCGTAGTCGTAATTTTTGTTTTCTTGAAAGGGGAGGGGAATGTGTGTACGCGTGTTCCCCGATGTGGAAAGCGCGCGAATTTATTTACGTCGTTGTCCCGCAATTTTCCGTCCGTGTTTTCCAGAGAGAGGAGAAGAAGAGAAGCGCCGAGATAATGGACGATGTTTCCGGGAGAACTTCGCAAATTCCGGATCTCTCCCTCGGCCGATGCGACGACGCGACCGGCAAACAGCGTCCCCGTAAAATTTCCATAGTTCGAATTAATGCGCTCTCTCTCTCTCTCTCTCTCTCTTCCTCTCTTTGGGTCGGAAGTGGTCGACGAATCTGTCAAAACTGCGACGACATCTTTGCGTTCAAACACGTCGTCGCGATTCAACTGTTTTTCATAACGGAATCGATGATCGATAGCGCGTAAAAAAAAAAAACAAACCAGTTACGTAGACAATAGAGAGATGAGATACGAGAGATTTTGCAATAAAATGAAATAATAAATTATACTTTTGCGCGACGGAGAGAGTTAAAGTGTTTGACAACTGTTAATTTATTATACACATTACTCGTATGAAATTCAATACGCGATACATTAATTTAAGTGATCAAGTCAACAGCATCAGTCAGAGGATATATTTCGCTCTCTCGATTATTACAAAATGTACACTCTTGTATCTCGATGTGAATCGAGATAGGCGTAATATTTTGTTTATACATGCGATATACACATATATCTAACATATTATGTTCGCAAATTATCGCAAAATTACATTAATTATATTTTCATACATTATGTACGTACGCCACATGCGTACACGTGCTTGTATCCTGTATAAAAAAATCCATTTGAACCGCGAAGTGCGCGTTTTGATATCGAATGTATCGCATCTATAAAGTAACGTGACAAGAAAGAGTAGAAAAACAACACGTGACTAAAGTAACGTGACTGTAATTTATATTATATGTAACATTAAATACTATATATTATACATATAATTTATTATATATTTATAATATTATACTTTATATTGTATTATATGTATTATATATATACTACAGAGTAAAGTCGCGTGACCGCGGCGGAGTCACTGACCGCGGCCGCGCGACCGTGGTGGGGGAGGTCACTGACCCGGCCGCGCGGCCTTGACGGGGTCACTGACCGCGGCCGCGCGACCGTGGTGGGGGGAGGTCACTGACCCGGCCGCGCGGCCTTGACGGGGTCACTGACCGCGGCCGCGCGACCGTGGTGGGGGGGAGGTCACTGACCCGGCCGCGCGGCCTTGGCGGGGTCACTGATCTCGGTCACGCGAACGCGGCGGGATCACTGTCTTTGGTCATGTGATTACGGTATATATATTTATATATTATACGGTATATATATATCTATGTAATATGATATATATATCTATATATAATATTATATATAAAATATATAAAAATATATATATATATATATAATATTTTCTTTTTTACTCTTTTCCCTATCACGCAACTTTAGTCACGTGTTGTTTTTCAATACTCCCCTTTTTCTTTTATTTTTCAAGTATGATTTTTATGCATAATTTTTGACATCTTTCATATGTACATCATGTGTATTATATTGTTTGTAAGACGTATATACCAGCTGTCGTTGCGGTGACAGGTTAAGTCCTCTGACATTACACGTTAAAATAAAAGCAATAATAGCGTGCGCGTAGCCTGTGTTGTGCTAGTTACAATAAAAAAAATCTTATTAAAAATCAGCGTGGAAAAAAGACGTGCAAAAATAGGTCATTTGTAAAAAAAAAGAAGACGCTGCGAACGATCGATTCGAATTTAATTAGCTAGTTAATTGACCGATAAATTTCGCGAGGCCAATAACCACCGGTGCATCGAACCCGTTCGTCTTGCATTAAAAGCTCTGACCTTGCGGCGAAAAAACAAAATTCGAACTAGCGTCGGGGAAGTGTTTTCTACGTGGGTATGTTACACGTATGCTCGCGCCGGGAACAGCCTCGCCCACACGCGCGACGGGTCACACCCATTTTATTTTGCGGTTTTCTTCTCTTTCATCTTGCATTCTCAGGTTTCTTGTCAGCCGGTCGCGTCGTCGTAATCACCTCTGTCTTCCGCTCGCCTTCTCTCTGTTCCCTTCCTCGGGACGCGTGCCTCTCTCTCCTGGTCCTCATTATGCGCCATTTATCCTTCGCGCTCTTCGGCGGACAGACACGAGAATTCAAGATGCAAAACGAGCCACCAGTCGCACGATCGTAGTCTCACCGAACGTCTTATTAGACTTTACGCTTGTTATATCAAAAAATTCTTGTTCTCTCGCAATTCTCTTCGTAACGATTCTACGTTAATTTTCACATAATTTAAAAGAACAAAATATTTTGCACAATTACGTTAAGTAATTATTTGGTCTATTTATCTTTTGTGTACTTTGTTTAAAGAATTTCTCCGTAACGCGGGTATCAATCGCAAAGATCGAGCGGTTGCTCATCTCGGCTGCGAGCCGCGTATGCGGGCGAGAGTTCAACCGCAACAAATGTAATTTTCTTCCGCCAGATAGCAATTTTGCGCTCGGTCGAAAAAAAAATCGTAGAATAGTGCGACGCTAATCCAATCGCTTGTAATCCAATCGTGAATTATTCAACGGTTTTTTTTTTTTTTTGCGAATATTCTAACGTCGAATCCCGAGGGGCTTTCCGTGTGATGTTGCAGAGTGTGAAGCGACGCCAGGTATTTAAACAAAATAGCTGATTCGAGCGATCGTGTCAAAATTTCTCACTTGAAGATATTTCGACATGTCTGACGTCGTTCCGCAAGCTTTTTCATTGCGGAAAGAGAGAAAGAGAGAAAGAAAGAAAGAAATAATTGTACACAGAAAAATATACGGAAAATATTCCGTGCAATTTGTCGTGTCAGCTCTGTCGTATAGCGAGGGATGCGAAATATTCGGCGTTCCTGGGGTATTCTTACGCGGAATGCGACTCGCGTATACACAAACGGGGAGAATCGCGGAAAGAACGAAAAGTAGGAAAAGCGCGGCGGATAGAGAACGCCGATGCATTAGAAAGAGAGAGAGAGAGAGCTTTGCATTTCTTGGCAGCCGGCTTTATGCGCCAGATCCAAGAGACGTAGCTGCGGCGAGCGGAAAGACCGTGGCCCTCTTTTCTATTTTCGAAATTCTCGGAATTTTGCGGCACAAATTGAGCGACACGTTTTTTCTTTTTTTTTTTTGTTAAAAAAAAATAAATAAAAATGTACTCCGGAAAATGTTCCCGTGAAAAATTCCGCGAAAATTCGCGAAAGACAAACGTGCTTGTAATTAATTTGCATTTTCCGTTCTTAATGAGGATCTCGTGAAAATCTCGTTGAAATTGATACACCGCGTTATCGCTCACACGTAATGACTGATGCGAAAGCAGGTAACAATGATCTCCCTCTGTGACTTATTAAGGGGATTCCTCCGGATCGAAATTTATGGACGCTCTCGCTTTTGGGCCTGCGCCAACGCGTGCTGCTCCAACTTCGACCGGGCACGAAGTTACATTCTCTTTCGGTGCTCGATCAAAGTTTCACGTATATATAGTAGTCGTTCTTCGATCATTCGAATACGCGCGTTTTTGGCACGGCCTTCGGATACGCGATTATTGAATTACGTCAAATTTTTCGATGTTTCTTCCGGGTGTTCGGTCTTGAAATATGTTACAGTCGGAATTGCTGCAACAAATTTAATACGAGTGGGAAACGATATTTCGAGACAGTCAACGCGCAAATTCCCGAATGCGATTAGAGATCAATTTTTTCTTTTGTTCGGAACGGTATCTCGTCGGAAAGAAAAGCGCTCGAAAACTATTTTCAAAATTCGCGAAGTTGGCCCCTCCGACGTAACTCCGACAAAGTTGTACATACGTCAAGCCGGAGAAGGGGGAGGAGGAGGAGGAGCGAGAAAAGAGCGCTCCGAGTTAGTTCAAGCCAGTGTCCAAGCGAGCGAGTATGAACAAGCAACGAAGATTCCGGTGTTGAAACTAAAGCTCGTTGATTACTTTCTCGGACGGTTGAAAACTCGTTGATTACTTTCTTAAACGCTCGCCTTTAGACAGTCGTAAAATGTTTTCCGTTTCTTTTTTTTTTTTTTTTTATCTCTTGCTGCGAAAGTAGCTTCTCTTTTTCGCGTAAGAGATTTTGTTTTCCTCCGATATCGGAGTCACATTAAACATGTAGCGTCATTCAATTACGATCCGCTCGTTTCTCGCACGTTTCCGACACGTAAGTTAATTTTCACTCGAAATTATTGCAATTTATTTTGTTTACAATTTTTTTCTAATCTGTGTTTTTTTTTCTTTTTTATTTTGCAGCAACGACGACGAGGTGACAACAACGAAGACGGTTGACGTACGCAGCCAACAATCGATTTGAAAATGGCCAAGAGCGCCGAGAGACCCGGTAGTTCCACCAGACTCCGAACCAGAGACGACGGCTGCTGTTCCGTGAACTTCTTGAAATACGTTCTTCACATTTACAACGTGGTGCTCTTCGTAAGTATCGTCTATTTATCCCGACACTTGCTCGCGATAGAGCGGGATATTTTACTCCGTTTATTTACGGGTGTGCGTTAACGTTAAATGAAACGCGGATCCGTGAAATTCGCGTTTGTTCCGCGTTCCGTGAAGGAAAAATCTTCTCGCTCGACGATCGTCGACGAAAAATCGTTTTAATCAAAAAAAACATCTCATGTTTATGAGACGTTTTACATAGTCGAGAGGATTCTTCGTCGCGAAGTCACTTGGCTGTTCCAAACAGCGAAACACCGAGTTCGTTTATTTGTTTTTTTTTTTTTTTTTTACTCTCGTCTCTCATTCGAACTTTGAGATCTGCTCGAAATTTAACAGCCAGATCGTTCGCGGGTAATTATACGTCGACCTCTTATTTAACGACAAGGTTTAAGAGCAAGGAAACCGTTACTCAAAGAAAATACAATGCGAGTTTCTCAGCTTCGTTAAAGCAATCGTAGCTGAAACAAAGACGAAAAAAGAAAACTATCTCGCATCGTTTGGTAATTTATTTACACGCTCGCGTCGTTTTCTCGCAATTTATGACGAGATTAAAGCAACGCGGATAGCTCCTCGTTGTCACGAGGATGGGTACGTTGAAGACGATCCAAATGCCCGGCGAGAGCTGAATTCGCGGGAGGATGACGAGAACCCGCGGCAATTATCTGCCTTTTAATTGTTATCGCGAATCTCGCGCGCGCTTTCAGGCGCGGAGTTAACAGGCGCAGTGCGAAAGAACCGCGCAAAGATAAACTTTTCGCGCATCGGCGGGATTATTATCGTCGTAATCGCGCGCGAGAACGAGAAAAAAAGGATTAAAGTATAATGCGTGGAATAATCTCGGCGAGAGCTCTCGGTGTGTGCGCAACAACTGCGCGCGAATAATTGGAACGCGATAGAGAGCGGGCCGGAAGAACGATGTCGCGCATTAATCGAAAAAGAGACGCTTTAATCTCTCTCTCTCTCGCGTACTAATTAAATAACAATCTCATACGAGAATAATTATATAATGTATCACATCCTGCGCAAAAGTTATTAATTTTGTGTGCAACAATTTAACGTTAATGGCCTCCGAGACGCGCGAGGGTGTATCGTGCCGCGCAAAATGTTAACGTAACTATAGAAGGACCGGTAGTTCCGGATTGTTGCCGGGAGAGACGGTCGCTCCGGGATTGCTTCTGGTTCTCTCGCACGGAAATTACGAATTAAATCTCCGCATTGAGATTTTGTTTGGCGTTTCTCTTCACGCGTGCTCGAACATCACGATGAGTCGTCGGTCGGGGTCTATCGGTGTGTTTGCGCGGCGACACGTGACACAAAATGCTAATAAAGTCGTCCTCGTTGCGAAGCGCGGACACCTCGTACATTGTCCCGGAATATAATCGCGAACGACGACGTGGTTGATGCGAAGTGTGTTTTGAAGCACGGAGAATACCGGGTATAGAGGACGGGAAAAAAAATGAAATGTGGAAAAATCGATCGCCGCGCGCTATATATAATTTCGGTTCCGAACGTCAGCATCTCGTTAAAGAGCGCGACGATGACGTCGAACGATTAAACAAGAGCGCGGGAATCTTTTTCGATCGATTGGCGAGATTGTTCGACGATGGACCACTCGTGTGTCTACTTTTTTTTCTTTTTTTGTTTCAAATTTTTGCTCACCAAAATTTATTTTTTTCACAACGCCGTCGAATCTCGATCGCTGAAACTTTTAATGAAGATCATTATCCTCTAATTAAAGCGGTCGGAAAGTTTTGTGTTGCGTTTGTCAAAAAAAAAAAAAAAAAAAAANAAAGAAAGTTACGTTAAAAGTTCGAGAAGACGAGAGTAACTTCTTCGTTGTTAAATATTTTAAAGTTAATAATTGTATTTTTCTCTAACATTTAATAAAATGCGCTCGGACGCACGTAAATATTAATGTTACGAATAAATAATTTATCTTCGCGCGAAAGAAATTAGAAATTATTACGATAAAAGCCGTGCGCATGCGAGCATCTTCATCTCTCGACATTTGCAACTCGCATCGTGCGGCTTGCGTGAATCTCAGACTGCCAGCGAATTCCTCGCATTCGCTCGACGTAAGTTGTGTGTGCGCTGAATACGTGGCCTTAAACGTTCGCTCGTAATAAGGCTCAATAATGCAGGCGTAATGTAACAATAACCCGCTCGGAACAATGCCGGTGCAACAATACCGGTCGCTTTACCACGTGCGTTCACGCCCATTGATTGCATTTCACAGAAATGGCTGTCACTTCCAGACTCTAAAGTCAGCAGATTCAATGTTGTTGTAGAGCGTTACACGGCAAGATGTGTAACGGCAAGACGACGAGTGCGAAATAAAGAGAAATCTTTTGCGCGGGGATATCTCTCTCGAACAAAACGCGCGGTTTACTTCAAAATTAAACAAAATAACGCGAAAGGGGAACAATGTCGAACAGAACGCGCGAATAAAGTTTCAAGCAGCAACATTTTCTCTGCGAAACATCGTCACTTAATCTCGTCAAAAAAAAAAAAAATTAATTAAATAGGAATGAGACTTAGAATAACTTACATTTTTAATAATTACTTTATTCTATTATTGAACTAATTATTTTATATGGTTTCAACGATTTTCGATAATGTCAATATATTTTCATTACATCGCGCGATCGGTATGAAATATTTTAATTACTCGCCGTAATTAAATCTCCCGTGTGATGTAGATACCGCATCAAAAAGTATTTCGAAGTTATTCCGTAGTTCGTAATAACATTTGAATTAGAATTCTTGTCGTTGGACGTGCGGGGAAAAAAAACGCGTTGCGCCCACGTGGAAATGGTTTCCCGGGATATTACGGTTAAGAGGTAATGAAGTAATTACCGCGGGGGGTTTTTTTTTTTTTTTACGACTTCGCTTCGTTAGATCGACTAGTAATTACATTACATACGTAGCCGGCCGCTGCTCTTGACCTCCTCGCACATTCTCGATCGTGCGATACGTTTTTTTAATAAATTGTGTTAGGAAACGATCGAATTAATCTGATTAATTAAAAAGTAGTTTTTCCGGCTTAAACGAGAAGACTAGCTTAAAAGTTTCTCCTGCGCCTTGCGAACGTTTTTAATAAAGTGCAGAAAAAATAACATTCGCGCTTCTAAAAAAAAAAAAATAAAGTTTTGCTTGTAGTTTGATAAACGCGTATGTTCCCTTGTAGGAATTGACGAACGGCCCAGTATTAGGTCAATATCGGCAAACGAGGCTCGATATTGGTACGACAGTAGTAGCCAGTACTGGGCGAATATGCTTAATGATTAGATCGGGCCAACGCTGGCTCTTAAGCTCGGCACGATACTTACTTCCGAAATTGGTCAGATATGGATTTCAAGTATTGGCACAATGTTGCAATTTTATATTTTATATGACGCCAACATTGTGGCGCCAATATATTGATCGCAGGAATGATTTTCGATAAAATTAAAGTTTGAACATTGGCTCATCCGTGGTGCCAGTATCGGGCCAGT